CAGGGGGTCGGACTTGATCTGCTCAGGTCCCTTCCAACCTACCAACTATGTAACTATAATAGTGCCTCTCTACTCTCATCACTAGTTAGGCCTCATGGAGTATTGTGTGCAGTTCTAGACTCTACATTTTAAAAAGGAGCTGGAGAAGTTAGAGAGGGTTGGGGCAGGCAACAAAGATGATCAAGAGCTTGGAAGGCATGTCATATGAGGAGCAGCTAAAGGCAAGAGCTTGGAAGGCATGTTCAGCTTACAGAAAAGGTGCTTCAGAGGGGACATGATAGCAGCCTTCAAATACTTGAAGGGCTGCCATAAAAAAGAGGGAAAGCAGCTTTTGTGTCTCGCTGCGGTGAGGAGGATACAGACAAACAGCTTGAAGTTGCAGTAAAGTAGGTTTAGACTGGATATCCAAAAAAGCCTCTTCACTGTTACAACAGTGAGGCAGTGGAACAGACTGCCTAGGGAAGTTCTGGACTCCCCACCACTGGAGGTGTTCAAGAAGAGGCTGGACAGCCGCTAGTCAGGGATGATCTAGGTGTAGCTATGCCTGTGTTCTACTATGAGTATTTCCCATGTTTCTAGGCTTTGCTGGTTGCTCCCTTCCCCTCTTTCTGCTACATGTGTCAAGATGTTTTTAAACCTTCCCCAAAGGCATTGGGTGCTGGCTACAGCCAAGGCTGGGGAGTGCCAATGCTTCTGGTGGGATCAAAACCAGAGGCTCCTTGCTAGAGGGTCTTGCCCCTCTAATCAAGGTCAGATTGATCACCATATTTGGAGTCAGGAAGGAATTTTATCCCATGGTCAGACTGGTATGGACTTGGTGGTGAGGAGGATTGCTTTCCTCTGTAGTGGGGGGCATGTCCCTCTACCTGAGATCTCTTGAGCATATACTGACAACCTTTTATAGAAGCAGGACATTGGCTGCCATGGTTTCCCTGCTTTATTTGTGAAAGGTTAGGCTGTTATGGCTATGTTGTATCAGGGTAATTGGTAGTTTTATGTAGAGTTTACATTATGGGTTGTACAGGATGGCTTGATTGCAAGGATGATGCTGCCACAGGCAAGGGGTTGGACTAGATGATCTTTGGAAGCCCCTTCCAATTGTACCTTTCTATGATTCTTTGACTGATTCTATCATTACCAGTGAGGGAAATCTCACTACAGCAAAAAAATGGAGCATGCATTTCAGGATTTCACCTTTTAAGAAGAAAGCCGTATTTTGAATGAGAAATTACTTTCCTTCAAGCATTTGGTAGCCTCTAACATGAATGGTTTGTTTCTGTCCCTGAAGGAGCCATATTGACAGGTACTTCACAGAAAACTGTGTCTAAAACAAAACTGCCAAGGTGCAAATGGCCAGGAAGGGAGTTTTGGGGTAAAAGAAAGATGAATAAAATATTAAATTAGTAAATACTTTAGCAACCTTGGCTGGCTACGTACATGAAGAGGAGCACTGGCTGAGATACTAGCCAAGAATCCAGGGGACCTGGGTCCCATTGTAAGCTCTTGGGTAAGTTGCTTCACCTCTATTTCATCTATCATCTTTTGTTTTTCTGTTATATGTAGAGTATAAACTCCTAGGGGCAAGGACCAGCTCTTACTACGGCCATGTCCAGACAAGCGCAGCCATGCGGTACGTGGCACCGCAGACACTTCTGTGATGTGCACATGGTAGAGAAAAATGGTGAAGCAGTGCATGCACAGGCAGTGAGCGTGTGCCGCTCAAAAGCGGAGCTAGGCCACCTGGAGCCATGCTGCGGCTGCCACCCAGGCTCCACATGGCAGAATTGTCACTGCTGCAGCCCCTGGAGGTCCCCAGATAAGGCTGCTGGGGCCAGCCCAGTGCTAGCCCCAGGCTCCCCTACCACCCCTGGGGTAACTTGCCATGTGCCAGAGTGCAAGTGGCATGAGCATTCTCCAGAGACAACTAGAGGCAGCACACGTTGTCCCCGGGGACCCAAATATCCACACCACTTGTGGACACAGCCTAGGTGTCTAAACAGTGTATGGCACAACAGAGCCTTGATCTGAACTACGGTTTGTGGGTACTCCTGTAATAACAATAAAAACATGGATATAGTGGAGACCTTTCAGCTTGAGTCTGGGGTAGAAACATAAGGCTGTCTTTTCAGTGGCCTTTAAGAAATAAGTCTGTAGCCTCACCAGAGAATCCCTGGAGAAAAGGATTCCCAGAGAGACAAAAAGTTAAATGGGCCTGGAGACTGAACGACTTTTCACTGTTAGAAGTGATCACACCTGATCAAGGCTGAGAAACTCTAGTAGAATGATGTTACTGCTGTTGCTGTGCCAGGCGTGTTGTGTAGAAACAAGGATTTCAGCCTTCAGATGTTTCAGCCTGGCACCTTTCACCAGCACTGTATGTAACACATAGACAGACATTAATAATGTAGTTCTAAGTTCTTGGCAGTGTTCATTCAAGTACTAGCCATTCAATATGGCAGCATTTACAGAGAGATCAATGTGATTCATTTTGAATCTGTTATTAAAAATGTTGATTATTTTAAACAGATTATTTGAAAAGATTTCATTCTCAGCATTGCTCAGATGTAAGAGATTGCTTCACCCTCTGACATCTAACAGTCTTCTATCCATATGGATCTTCACTGCCCTTACAGTAGATTCACTCTCTCAGCAGACTCTCCAAAATGCCAAACTTCCTGTTGTTAGTGCCTCTGGGACTTCCATGGCTAGGTACAGACCTTCAAAAAGCCTGAGGCAGAATCAATCTAAGTGTGGTTTTCTGTAAGCAGCACAGTTTATATCGGTACTGAACAGAACACAAATTTGCCCTTTGGTGGGTGTGCAAATCTTAGATAGGGTTCCACTAGTTTTAAACCAGTCTGTGTGTGCTGAGCTTCCTTTTGGTTATGAGTATAGACCAGTTTTGTGTGCTGAACTTCTGTTCTGTTAGGGGTATAGACTGGTTTCCCATCACTTATATCAGTAAAAGTGTAATGTCTGTACCTGGCCCACATGTGGATAAGCAAAGAGTCCCAGGCAATCCAGCTGCTCTTCTGACTCATAAGCAATTGCATGCTGTGGTAATGGGAGTAATAGCAAACCCTAAAATAGTCCGATCCTGCGATGAAGTCATACTCCTAGACTGATGACCTCACAGTCTGTTGCTATGGCACTGACTGTCATGTCATAACATTTGCCAGCTGCACAGCTTCATTTTAAAATCGAACAAGAATAAAGATGGTCTGTGAGGAACAAAAACCCTTATTTGAACACTGGGATATTGAATTATTAGGGAGGAAAACAAAAAATAAGAATACTTTTTAAGTGAAGAAAAGACCAAATGCCACATACATGGTAAAGATTCTGAATGAATTATTACAATACATTCCTTAGCATGGATGCATCTCAAAAGCTCACTTTTGTTTCTAAGAAAACAGATCTTTCTCACCTTTTCAAATAAAACAGAAGAGATGCATGATTTTCAACATGCAGACTAATGCAAAAGCCTATATATCTCTTCCCTCCTCCCCCACCCTGTCCACCCATGCCTCCACTCTGCAAGGAAACTGTGCAGGGATCAGTGTATTTACATAGCTGATTATGTGTGTGTATATACATCTCTGACCCAAGCTGAGCAGAAGTACATCTGTTTCCTAGTAATAGTGAATCCAGCCTCTACTGTGCCCAGTACTGCAGGTACCTTGCCTGAGGAACATTCGGTCCCATCCAGGGGGGGCCCTTTCTTGGTTTTGCAGAAGTAAGGGTTGTCTGGATGGCTGCACCACAGCTGCTTGCAAGGGTCAAAGGTTCTGAACTGTGAAGTAAACAAAAGCCCTTCTGTTACTTTAATGGGTAGACATATACCAACCTTAACTGCCCCCAACCCTGAAACTATGACCAAGAGCAAAGAAGTCGAGAACTCTGAGCCTGTCCCACTGCATAGACTTAGACACAAGGTAGACATGAAGCAATTCCAAGAAGTTTACTGCAAAATGCCTGTTTTTATCCCACTTAAGCCTCTCCACTCTCTCAGATGATTTGGGTATAAACAGGTCTAGCCCCTCAGATCTGCAGTCTCCCTTCTCAAACTCAATACATAAATCTGTTGAAACACTACCATCAGGACAGGCAGAAGGTACTATTTGCTTTATGGACACTATCACTTCTAATCAAATGTGGTAAAGGGGAAAGACTGCAGCCAGTCTCCACTCTGCATGCTCATCCTCCCTAGAAACAAAATAGACCTAATAAACAACGCCAGACCTATAGACCAGAGATGCTTCCAAAGCCTGGAATACCTACACATGGCAAGCTTCTAATATTTATAGCTCAATAACCTCCAGAGGACCACTAAGACCTCCACTGACTCTTTTAGTACCCTCCTCCACAAAGTGAGCTCCTTTCCATACCCTGCTAACAGAAGCAATACTCACAGCTGTGCATGTTTTGTAACCCACACCGAAGTCAAAGCGGCATTGTTCATCCATCGAGTAATTGATTCCTGGGAGCTCTGGTAGCTTGGGCCACTGGTGCTCAAAGGGATCATCTAGGAGGCAGTCGTAGGAACTGCAGTGATGCCAGGCAAAGACAAAGTTAGATTGAATGTGACAAATTTTCCTTGCTTTAATTGCACCTTTCTTTGTCCCTTCCATTTTTCTATGTCCCTGTCCCTCCCCTGCTAAAGAATCTTCACTCCCTTGGTCCTCACTCTAACACTAGCCACCACTATCATGTGCATTTGTGTATCAGCTTTAAGAAGGTCACAGCTAGCCTCCACCAACATCATGTCAGAGCCTGGGAGCACTACAAGTGGGCCTCTGATCCAACACTTCTGATATCAGACCTCATTCTCCCTTAACTATTCCTCCCCTGGAGTTAAGAACAGCAGGTTATCCACCAGCTACCTATTTGATGTTGTCAAATAACTCTAAATTGCTAGTAAATACATTTGTTACAAACCGTGCCAAACGATTGCACTCCAGAATTGACTGATACTTTTTTCATCTAAGATAAAAAGGCTGACATACAAGCAAATCCAGGCTGGGGTCAGCTGGTTATACATAGATGCCCCCTGTAATTCTTTTTAAACTTTACTTTAAACAAGTGTAAAACTTCCTGATGTGTTTCAATTCAGTATATGATGCAAGACATTAGCCAGCCTTAAGGTTTGGCAAAGCAATGCAGACAAAAAACTTGTGAACCACAAGAACTTAATATAAACTGTGCCCTAGAATTAGTAATAATTCACTTGAATTTGCATGGGTGAGTTGTTCTCGGCAAACCATCCACTGAGACTTTTTGTGATCTCCTGTTCCAATGACATCCGCAACATTTGAGGTGTCCCTCTGACTTGTCAGAAGATTTCAAGTGAAAGAAGCCACTTATGTCTTTATCTTTTTCTGATCAGCTCTATCTATCCAAGGTGACTAAGTGCACCAGTAAACATTTTTAAATGGCAACTAAGGACATGATTTTAGGGGCAGGTTCCCAGGGGATTTCCTTCCATTATTACTTTTTAAATAGTAAAATGTATACAGACTTATCAGACAAACAGAAGGCATATGTGGTAGCAACGGAGCTTTAACATAGAAGCTAAAGCAATTACTAGCTTCAAGGTCATGTTTCCAAGCTCAGAGCTAAGGGTTCAAGGCAGCGGTGCTCAATCTCTGGCCCACAGCATCTGGCCTGTGGGGCTCCCCACATGTCAAAAAGTTTGGCAGTGCAGAAGCAGTGGCCATTAACACAGTCACCCTCCCCTGTTATTAAATTCCCATGTCCCTTCCTTCCACACAGCCAAATGGGGCTGAGCTATTCCCCATTCCCCAACTCAAAGCTGGGCCATGCCCCCTTCTCCCTGCAGGGCTGGGTTAGAGCTGGGCCATGCCTCCTCCCTGCTGCAGGTCTGGGTTGGAGCCAGGCCATGCCTTCTTCTCCGCTATGTCCCCCCCACATGTGGCCAGGCTAGGGCTGAACCAAGCCCCCTCTCCCTGTGCAGCTGAATTGGGGCCTGCCTGCCCCCCTGCCCTTCTTCAGGCAGCTGGATGGGGCTGTACCCACCCTGGGCATCAGATCAGGACTACTGGCTGGATCCAGCCCATGGAGGGACTGGGCACTGCCCATTTGGCCTGCCAGGGAAAAGGTCAAGCACCACAGCTCTACGGAAACACTTGTGGCACCTGCTACACAAGTTTCTTCTTGTTGCTGCCTTCCTTGCTATGTGTCTTTGCAATCAGAACCCTTGCTTCCACTCTCATCTTTCCATGCACACATGCGTTCATATAAATGCCTGTAACATTCATTTGTATACCAAAATCATACCCTAGCTAATTTTAAATCACAATGATTAAAAGTGACCTACTGTATGTATCGGTTCAATTCCTGCTTGCTACATCGGGACCAGTGGTAGCGGTGGAATGCAGCCTGCACTAATGGTGCCATAATGCTCCCCATGCTGGTCTCATCTACGCATCGGTTGCCCTGGCCATCATGTTCCATACCTAACCTGTTAAAAAAGTCTTTGAGTTGTGTTTCTTAGGGTGTGCCATCAAGCAACAGCCATCAGTCAAATTTTAAATGCTGATATTTCCCAAATAAGCCTTAATTAGATTGGACAAGGAAGAAGACATATTCCTGGCACATCTCAAATTGTTTGGACCAATATTCAATCAATACTTTTCCAGCACTCACACAATTCCAGTCTCACTAACAGTGCAAGACAGTGCATGACATACAGAAAGAATATGATGCCCAAAACTGAACTGTCCAACTATGGACATTAGAACTTGGAAGTAGCTACTTGGGAGAACCCTGGCTGATCAGAATGGCACAGTGTAAGTTTTTGTCCTGGCAGAAATTTTCAATACCAGCATCTAATCTCTTCTTAGCTGAGACCCTGGACAGGGATCTGCTAGTAATTTAAGGAGGGCAGATGAGAAAGGTCCCAACAAGAAATGATCCATTTGATTCTAAGAGGACTTCTCAGCATTCATTATAACTAACAGTGCTCTCCAAGTACACTGTAAAGCTGAGCACAGGCAAAAACAATGATGCAGAAATACTGATCAGATTTATAAACTTCATTTAGAGGAACTTTAACCAACAGTCTTAATAATTTCACATGATTTCACCTTCTCATCATTTTTTCCTCAGATAAGTCTTTTTTCCCATCCTGTCCATGTTTCCTTATAGATCTATATGGATTTTGGGAGACTATCTTTCCAGCAGTTTAATGTCTTTACTGTACTTAGTCATAATATACAATGTATATGCTTGATTCAAAGCCACTGATTCACAGATGGTACACTAAGTTAAAGACTCTGTTGCTTTGGCCCAATTAAACATCTGACAGCAGTTTGTTGTAAACTGAAAGCAGATTTGACTGCTCAAGGAACAGCTGTGGGATCTTAAGTAAAGCCTTTGGCTTCATACCAGTTTGTTATATTTAATAGTCATAAATGTCCAAATTCTGCTTCCTGTTTGTGACTCTATTCACAGTTAACATTATGAAGCTAACTCAGTATCTGTACTACCCACCACTGATGTAGTTATCATGCTAGAAACCAGCAGATTATGCTGCAGTTTCTTTGGTAGACACATGTTTCAATGGACACAAAAATAATTTGAGAAGGATAAAAGGAAATAAAGAGTCTCTCCAGGTACTGTGTCCAGAATCTATCCCAGATGCACTAAAACAATCCAGTCCAGGATATTTAATACTTTACATTTGATGAAAAAACCAATGGAGGAGTTGTTCTACTTTTTAATAAAGCCAACATTCTCCTCTGGACTCAACTTTTCAGCCCATGGGATAAAGAACAGCCACTAGGAGAGAATTCTGTCTTCTCCCAAAGCAGGACACCTCCCAGCCAGCATGGGTGTGACTGGCCACTGAATTTTAAGACCTTACAATCCAGAGTCACAAAACCAGCTGATGACATCTCAGTCTCCTCCATTTTTCTATGGACTGTTTCACAAACTTCTGAAATTCTCTTAGGATGGACAAGAAGTGTCCCTTCCATACAAGTCCACAACTTTCCCTTTGCCAGGATAGGATAATTTCTATTTTTATGGTTTACAGTTTTAAGGAATAGTCAATTATGTATTTGTAATAAGCTTAACGAGTATTGTGCATGATTCCTCCTGTATTACAGTACATGTAAATAACTCCCATTATCCCTGCTGGTGAGAATAAAAAAACAGAAGGTGGATGAGATCTATTCTCATTAAGGTTACTTGTTACACTCTCTGACAGAGTGTTTTTTTCCAGTCTAATTGAAGTTACTCAGATGATGGAGATTCTGTCACTTTGTTCACAGCTTCATGGTTCCCATAACCAGGAAGTATGTCCTTTTAGTCACTGTAAGCACTTTTTTTCCCCCAGTTCTACTCCAGGACTCTACTATATAGCAACCTGGGAACACTGTATATCCCACCAAGAGGCTGCTGGTCCCGAAAGAGAAGCAAGCAGAAAACTTGCTGTTGCCTGCATGCCTGTAACAACCACACCAGACTAAGTGTGGGAATTAAAGGCATCTGAATGTGGGGTTTTATTTCTATATAGGAACAATAGATGGCTTTTGAATTTCTGGATGCTTTTCTGCATCTTCACCAAGTATTCATGCTTAGAAGTAAAACGCAGCATTCAAAGGCTTTTGATAGCCACACTCAAGCTAAAACCAAAGCAGCGGATTCTAAGCTCTATAAACGAGTCAGCAGCAAACGCCAAAGCAAAACTACTTTGGAGTGACTCATTAATCCAGCTATGATGCAAAATGACTACTTTCCTATGTTTGCCACTATCAAATGCCACGTTATTATTTTGGAAGGCCATTATTTCAGCACAAAACAGCTTCTCATTCAGAGGGCAAGTCTACTATGCATGTCAGTACAGACAAGCTAGGAGCACTCAACACCCTACTGAGCCATCGGGTGCATCTACATGAGGTTCTTTACTGCAAAGTAGTGTACTTATTGCTCAGTAAGCGTGTACATTTACTTGTGCATGTGCTTACTGTGCAGTAAACCTCACTAATCATGAGTAAATTTGCTACCTGCAAATGCAAGTAGCAAATTTATTTGCAATTAGGTACTGAGCAGTAGTGCTCGGGTAGACGCCTGACCGGGGGCAAATCTGCTCCCAGTGAGCTGGCCACCAGGGGGCAAGAAATTGCTCCCTGCCCCTGGGAGCTGCCTGCTGCCAGGGTGGGATCTGCCACCAAAGCCCAGGCAGGGACAATGTCCCCCTACCCTGGCAGCAAGAAGCTCCAAGCCCCCACTCTGAGATCATGACTGGAGAGTAGGGACTGGGAAATTTTTATTTTCCAGTTCCATGACAGTGGGGCTGGCACTGAGAGATCCTTATTTCCCAGTCCAAGCTCTGAAGTCATGGGGAGCATATGCACATGTAAATGCATACAACTGTGGAACTTGGGCTGAGAGATAAAGATCTCCCAGCATGGGCCCTGAAGTTATGGAGCTGATGCTGGGAACTCCCTGCTGGAGGGGATGGAGCAGCCCGTTCCCAGCCCAGGTCCTTGATTGTGGAGCTGGCTGGGGAACAGGTTGCAGAGCTGAACATGCTGGGTGGGGAACAGGCAATCACAGAGCTGAGCAGGGAACAGACTCTCCAGCTCCTGCCCTGCAATCATGGGGTGGGGGCTGGGAACTGTCCTGGTTAGGGGGCAGGTCCCAGTCCTGTGCCATGATCAGGTGATCAAGGCATGGGGCTTGGAAAGAACAGCAGGAGTGGAGCTGGTTCCAGCCCTCAGCCTCAATCTACCAGTAGGGCAGCTAGGAGCAAGCTGGCTGCTAGCTGCCCCACCAGAGGATCAGGGCAGGGGGGTGGGACCTACCCCTCCCCTGCCGCTCATTCTAAGTCTCATGCCCACAGTCGAGAAGCCAGGGCCAGGAGCTCCCTGCTGCCGGGGGGAGGGGGCACACTGTCTCCACCCTGGCAGCAGGCAGCCCCTCCCCCTCCAGAGGCGGGGTGCAATGTTCCAGCTCCGGCCAGGAGACAGCTGTCTCCTAGCCTGGTGCTTCCTGCCATCCCACAGGTTAGCACCCACAGGGAGCATAGAGCTCCCCCTGGTGGCAGTAGGGACCCACTGCAGGACCCTAGGAATCAAGTGCAGTTTGCTGCCATTAGCAGCAAATCTGCTCCCAGTTCCCTGAATGTGTGGACACCTTCCCAGGAGCTTTTAGTCACAGGTAAACTGCTCCCAGATCTAATGCATGTGTAGACACACCCACCAGGCAGCAGTAAAAAAATATCCAGTGACTCACACATGGCCAGTCTCATGGGCAACCACGAATGCTGAGGAGAATCCATCCTCATGGTTGAGAGTACAGCTGCGTAGAGGGTGGCACATACCTGTGACAGGAGCATAACCTGGAGCAAGACACAAAAAAGAGCAAAAGGGAGGTGGTCATGAGAAGGGAAGAACCACACACTAGAGCTGTTGCAATCATATTTCATGCTCAGCTCCCTGCTGAGACACATGGTCCTTGCAGCTGCCTGGGAATTAATGCAAATGAAGCCTATCATATGTCCCATTGGCTCATATCTCATGGAAGCAAATGGGCTCAGAAAGTATTGAAATTACATATTGTTTGAATCTCACCATACACCCCCACAGTGACTATTACATTCATTCCTGACTAATTCTCACACTAAAAGAAGAGAGGGCATAATTTACATCTTTGACATGTGCATCAGCAACTGCTGTAATCCATGTACCACCTGTTTAACTGGACTGAAAATACATGTGATGCCTTTCTTGTCCCTTTTGCACCTATTCACATCTTCCGCTGAATGTCTGACTTGCCAGTTTCTTCTCAGATTAATCCCATTGTAGTTTCCTTCATAATTTTCCATGCATGATATTGGACCAGGTGGCAGAATGGATAGGTCATAGATTACAAAGCTTTCACCTTGCAATTGTTGATTTGACTCTGGACCAATCAGTAGTTGCTGAAAACACTGATTGTGTGAATAGACTGCCAGTCTCAACCCAGTTAACAGTGGAGAGGTGAACATCACCTCAACTGAGTCTCGTGGGAAAAATAAGTGAATGAATCAGTCTGGAAACCAATCTACCTTCTCAGCCCTTCCTGGTCAAGAATAAGGGGCATGCAGATAAGTCTTTACTGTGATGAGAAGAGAAAACAAACACTACCAATGAAAAATCTTCAGCCCACAAGTGGACCAAATTCTGCAAATGGTAAAACATTTGGCCAGAAGCCAGGGACCATGCACTTGATTTCCAGTGAGGTCACCATGGCTCCTAGTGCCAAGAACAGACTAATGTTAACTGACATATCCAAACATTTGTCATACTTTCCATGCCTTAATGTCAGTACATCCTGACCAACCAGATTGCACATGTTCAAGTACCTTCCCATTCAATTTAACCCTATCTCCTGCTACAGGCTTCAAAAGAACTTGCAGGTCCTTCATCAGTCATGGCAGCCACCATCCCTGAGCCAATGGCAAAGAGCAGCCAAAGCAGAGTACCACTTTGATTGCTCCAGAGAAATTCAGTACAAAACAGGTCACAAAACAGCATCCCAATAAGAGTTGTGTGGCTACGTCCCTTTCAAGAGTGAATGTTAGTGTTCATGAAAATCACAAAAGTGCAAATGAAGCAGACTGATGTGCCTGCATGGCTGATGCATCTCAGCTCAAATCTTCAGCTTCCTTAGAGCCTGACAGCTCTTTGTGTGGATGCAGCTATCCCATCCTCACCTGCAGAATTCTACTACACATACCCTGGGGCTTTCCCAGGTGGAAGCTACCAAGATCCCAAAGTACATGGTTATTTTATAAAATGAGCAACACTTTACTAGAAACAAAAATAGGGCCATCTTTTTACATGTAACCAAGGGATGGAGTTTAGGTAAAGTATCTAATCCCTGTACTTATTGGCCCCACCTCACTCTACATATAAGGCTTTTGCCATGGTTGCGATTCTTTCTACACCTTGACATCACTGAAATTTTTACTCCAAAACCATGACCAGATGTTGGCCCAGAAGGATGCTTTGAGTTTGGATTCCCCCTTCAGTCTTTTGGACTTCTGACTGGACTTGACTGCCCTCTAAATTTTAATAGTTCAGATGAAAAAGAAAGAGAGAGATAAAATAAAGGACAGGGAGAAATCTCTCAAACTTCAGAGCCCCATGTAAAGATAATCTAATGCAACACAAGCAGCAAGAAGGCTTTGAGATATATACACACATTCACCCAAACAGTCTCCAATAACTCAATGCTTCCACTATTAAGTCAGAGCAGGGAGGGGCATACATATCCCCTGGGCTCAACAGTATGATGACATTTGCCCAGTAGTTTCAGATATCTCATCACAACACCAGCCAGAGAAGCCTGCACTCCAGAGCATGAGGACATGATGGGGCTCTACACAAGAGCTAGTGGCCATGCTTACATCTGCTTTCCCTGCAGAGGGTCATTTCCTTCCTACATGATAGAAACATGGCTCTGAAGACAATCCGAAAGAGATCTAGCATATTAACTTGAGCTTGCTGTGATGGCACTAGAAGTCAGGAAATGAGCAGAGAAAGTCATCAAAATTCCCTTGTTAGAAAACGACATGGCTGTCCATGTGCTCCAAGTATGCTTTCAAGTTGACTAAGACAGTCCTCAGGCTGCCATCCCTATTTTGAACACTGACACTGTGTGGTTGCCACTGCAGCTTTTCCAGGAAGTGCATGACTGCCCTAACCTGCTTACACCATGTATCTTCTGAGCCATTCATTCCATAGAAACCCAGCAGCAGTGGAACAACTAATATTAATTACTGTGGAACAGGGTGGAGAGGAAGGATGTAATTCTGCTGAACCTCATCCATAACCTGAACGAATGGGTAGATCGGCACATTGTGAAGCTGGCAAAGCATGAAAAATTAAAACAGAAATAAATGGTTTCCTGAGAACCCCTCCTAAATGAAGGACCAGAGGTTCTGATGGTACTGGACTCCTGTGGTAAAGGCAATTTTAAGAAACCAAATTTCAATCAAATGCTTTTGTAAATGTTTGCTTCCTGGCAGTAGGTGTGCTCATCTCAGGGAGTTCCCAACACCAGCAAATCACTTGATGAAAAGTGGCAACATTAATGATTAAAGTATTCACTCAAAAAGTCTTTCCAGTGACTCTGCAAGCACAAGCTCAGTGTAAAGTCAGAGTTATGTTCAGATTTACCCATAACAACGAGCAGTTACACATAAGGCAATCAGCTGTGTGTGCAAACAAGGAAATGGTTGAGACATGACTTCTCAGCTTCTACAGAGGCCCACTTGCATGAGCCAAAGTCAGAGCCCCAAGAGCCAGTCCAAAATAGGAATAAGTAAGTGGCAGTTGGGAGGCCTGGAGAGCCTAGCAAGGGCTATAGAGCCTAGTGAAGAGGCAAGGTGCCCAGAGGCTAGGAGCCCCGACTGTGTCTGTGTCTGTGTGTAAGGATCCCAGTGAGACTGAAGGGCTCGGAGCTTAAGGAGAGAGGCCAGAGTTAGGGGCCGGGATATAGTGGCAACATGCAACTGCCGAGAGGGACGTGTAGTGAGGCCCCATGATCAGCAGGCCTAACATAAGACCCTGGGAAAAAGAGCACAAAGTGAGTCCCGGTGAGCAGGGGGCTTGAGGGTAGACCCTGCTAACATGGGGACCAGGTTAGGTCCAAGTAAGCCTTCAGGCATTTGAGGCCACAGGTGGGCCAGAGGCTGATTGGGTGGAGCCCCTGAGGAAGTGCTTGCAGGTGAACAGTGGGGCGAGTCATGAGCCCCTTATTCAGAGCAGATAGGTGAGCAACCCAGTGAGGGACTAGAGGCAGAGTCACTCCAGTGTTCTGCAAACTGCCCAGCACTCGCTCGGATGAGGGTCGCGAGAGATGCCCAAAAGGCCACACGCTTGCTGACTGAACAGTGCAGGGAAACAAGCCCCAGGACCCTTCGGGCAAGGGCAGGGTGAGTGTGGCCCCAGGAAAAAGAAGGGGCGGTATGAGAGTGGCCTTGCAAAGGTGCAGCATGAGAGAGACAGTGTGAGAGAAGGTGGAGGGGGAGAGGCCTCAGTGAGAGGGGGGTGGTATGAGTGTGGCCCATAATAGGGCAGAAAGCGAGAGGCCTAACACTGGGATGAGTTGAGCCCAGACTCAGGCCAGAGCAGAGCTCAGCTGTTAGGAACATCTGTGAGGCTTGGGATGCAGTACAGGGGTAGTTGGAGCTGCATACATAGGCCCAGGAGACCAGGGAATTCAAAGTGCAGCCTCCCACATAATTAACACCTTAATTATGTGTCATCAAGGCATGGCAGGCTAGAGGCAGGTGAGGAGACTAGCACTGTGGCTAGTCAGGGGTTCCCACTTTGCCACACCCATGCTGAAAAAATGGCGGTGGGGCACTTTGAAATTAAACACATTCAATGAACTTTAATTCAAAGCACCCTGCCACCATTTTTTCAGTGCAGGGATGCTGCTGCATATCATGTGACGCACGATCAATTTTAATTAGCACAGGTCACTAATTAAACCGCTTGTTGCCGCATCCCACAGCATATGTAAAAGTGCCCTTTGTTGCTATGGTTATTAAAGAGGGATTTCAGTCAAGAGAACAAAACAGAGACCTCCCTGAAACAATCTGAAAGAGGTAGTTCAAAGCCTGAGCTATATGGAGCCCAGAATAGAAGAAAGAGTGGCTAGGAGCAGGGGAGAGGAAAGACAGTTGCCTCTTACTGGGCTGCACTGTCAGATACAGCCGGTTATGGCCACATCACTGGATACACTGGCATTACTGAAAACCCAGCCCAGTAAAGAGAAATCAGGTGGGAAGAAGTGTGGACCAGGACAGGAATTATCAGGCCTCTGACTGGTATGACCAAAAGACTTTAGAAGGGCAACACTGAGGCTATACAGCTAAGCCAAGATCCAGCCATCTCCCAAGCAGCAGTTTCCTAACCTCCTATTAAGAAGAACTCAACATGAAGTAGTTTATCAAATACCTGACCATGATTTTTCATTGCATGAAATATGTATGCCTACTGAAAGAGAATGGACAGGGTAGTATTATTCAGCCAATACATTAGTCAACTATTTTGCCAGTCTGAATCAATAAGTTATTTAACAAATAATGTTAATGGTAGTCAATCAACTCAATAACTGATCAAGTACCATTCACGGATTAAATTATTTGCCAAATAACAGCCATTTTCAGTGTCTAATGGATTTGAACATTTTTTCTTATGTTCAGCAACTCTTCGTCCACTGAAATGATATTTTACATAGGACTTCTTTCCACTGGGATTTTCAAAGTATGATTTCTTAAAGTAATAGCTTTCTTGTTTTTCAAACACAGTCAAGTCACTAGCCTTCCACAAGTAAAATCTGCCTCCCAAGCTCTTTTCCACATAGCCTTTTCTAAAAAAAAAAACCAGTTTGGTAGTTCTAAATGGGAAGCATTTATTTTTCATCCAATCTGAACTTAAATAGCTAAGCAATTTTACTCAAACTTCCTACTAGACAGACAAACTAAATTACTGTCAGAAAATGACCAGTGTGCAACTGCTGACAGCTTACTGAAAACTTCCACTTAAAATGCATGTCCAAAAGGTAACCAAGATATTACTGAATTAAGAAAGTGATATTATGATACTGAAAATATTTTAACAATATATTTTAACAATAATATGGCCAGACCTTAAAATAGTGTGTCCAGTTCAGGCCAAATAATTTCAAAGGGTATATAGAATAAAGAGAAATAGTCCAGAGATGGACAACAAAAATTATTAGAGACTATAGAATGTCTTCTGTATGAAAACTGAGTCAATATATTTAGGATGAATGATGGGATGGGATTTAGGTGCATGTAAAAGTGTATGCTATAGAGGAGGTCACTCTTCTCTCACAACATAAAACCAAAGAAAGGGAATAGTGAATGTACATAAGAGAGAATAAAAAGGGATAACTTTATATGGAAAATATTTAACCTGTGGGCCTCATAGTAGGATGCAAAATATCGCTAGATATTTATATGGTTAATTATAGTGTCCCAGTTAACAATAACTGGTATTTAGGGATACATACAAACCATTAAACATTTGGATTTAGGAGGAAACTTCCTCTAATTGCATGTTATCACATTATCATCCATTATGAAAACTTAGCTATTTTTCTGATATATCTGGCATTAGCTGCTGTCAGAGAAAGCATACCAGCTTTGAAGAATCATTGGTCCATCTGATAAGTTCAGGCAAAGATGAAGCCTGAAAAATTTCTGCCCAGAAGATGAACATTTTGGAGCAATGAATATACGAAAAGTAGTTCTAATCTAACAAATAGTCATTATTAACTATAGTGCCCTGTGTACCTGATGCAGAGGAAGTGAAGAAACGTTATTCCATTATAGTATTAATACACTTTTTGTCAGAAATTGATAAGTTATGATCCCCCCTGTCCATTGCTTGGATGCACTGTAAGGTCTTACGCGCAGTCTATCTGCATATTAGGACAGATCTGCTCAGCCATGCTTCCTAGCCCTCCCACTACCAGGGGAGAAGGAAGAACAGTTTTTGATGAAGAGTCACAGTAAGTCATGCCATGCCAACAAAGCTGGGTGACATCATGAAGGACACATGGGACACAACTGAAAACAAATTTGCCCTTTGGAATTATATAGAAAGGAGGGGGATAAAAAAATAAAGATGAGAGACCAGGGACTGGAGTGTCTATGGAATGTATCTTGATTCCAAATTGTGGGTTGGAGATTCTCACACTGGGATTTACCTGCAAGCCTTCATCCAGTTGGAAAGAGAACCCCTCTGTCACAGAAGCCCCAGATCTCCCCCCACCCAATATAGTCTTACAATGCTTTTTCCTTTTCACCCTGGGATAAAAATCACAGGCAAATCCCACACTGATTTTTTTAAGTCTCCTTCCCACCAAGATAGAGTCTTGCAAGTCTCCTTCATTTGTCTACATGCCAAAAAAGCCCTTTAATCTTTTTATCTGGACACAGACACTTGGCCAGGAAGATTCTGGAAAACTGAAATAAAAGTATTTCAAAAACATAGCTATACAATTCTAAACCAAGTTTCCAAATGAAGGAGGGTGTTATATTTGACTTCCCCAAGAAGTTCTGGGCTCTGAAGTCAATGGTTTAGTGCTGTATTCTTTGCATTTTGAGCCAGGCATTCTACTTTGTGATACAGACTGTTCTGACACCCAATACCTCAGTCAAGAATGTAATGTAAAGACCTTAATGACCTCTGGGTATCTACTGTAATTAATCCTCAAATTCTCTATCAACTAAAGACCCTTATTCACAGAAAACCTAACAAAGATTAGCTCATGTTTCTTTTCCTATGCCTGCCATTAGAGAAAGAATGAGTTGGGGGGACTTTGGAATCAATCTTTTAAAGGTGATGGTATTAACTATCCTGGAACATGCTACGATAAAAGAAGTTAACCCTCAGAAGGCCTGCCATGTACATTTGTTTTTCAGAATAAACATCAATATCAAAGCCTCTACATTAAATTCACTCGTACCTGTTCGTCTGAGCTTTGGAATTCTTATGCTGTCATCACTGCTTGTAAGGCCAAGGGTCAACAGGAGTCTGCAAATTGCAAAGGCATTTGGCATACTACTCAAAACTGTACCTCTGGCCCTGAATTTTTGGAACATTCTCATTCTCAGCTCTATAGTGACCAAGAAATTGGCTCTGTTAAAATCAGTTTGTCATATATTGGGATTGCAGCAGTTTTTCAACAGGGCACAATGAGATGTCTTAAAATAGTAACCTCTTTTTACATTTCATCTTACTGGCTTTGCCCTTTTAGTTTTACCTGGGACAGCAGCCATGGGTAAGTATCTAATTGATAGGGATTTTTCCATTTGATTTTTTTTCCAGGTCAAGGTAATACTCCAGTTTTGTCTTGCCTCCATTTGTCCTATTAAATACTATTTTATATAACTTTTTCCAGAGTCCTATTGGACCTAAGGTCACTGAGACAAAGACTGTGTCAGTGGAAAATCCTTTTCAATTGCTGGCTTTCCCTCAAGCCCAGCACACTGCACATACCTGATGGAGATAATACAGTACCTTGCATACCTGCGGGACCAAAATCTTGCCTGGTGAGGAATACTGCATGGTCATGGTATTCGACATGCTCTGGATCCGAGCGCTGCTGGGAATGAGCCCAGCGGCAGACCTGCTCCAGGCTCCGAGAAGGGTTCCCTCGCTCAATCAGGCTAACAGACTAGTTGGGAAAGAAAAAAAAGGCAAGTAGGTTAGCAGGAAAATAACCTTAGCCAGAGTCTGGGGGCAAATATAGGAAAGATTTCCAGATAGAGAACCCCCTGACATTTTAGATATGCAAAACCATCACCACCAATGGAGGCTGCTGATATACAGTAAACAATAATACAGTAAACTGGAAAGGCATAATTTGACCAAGGACTTAAAGGTAAACACCTACTTCTTCTGAAAAGCTGTGTTAGTACTTCATACAGAGCACAAAGGATCTGACTTTTAAAATGACCCATAGTTAGTAAGCTACATACCACTCAATCTATTGCAGAAAAACTAAAGGCTGAAGCATTGCTGTCAAGAATGCATCCTGTGGTTTCAGGAAGTAAAAGGTCAGAACTCAGATATTAAGCCATCCTGTGACAAGATAACAAGACTGCAGCCTCTAAAACCTTAACAGTTCCCCCCCTGGCTATATGGCTGCTCAGTAGCAGAACAAAAGGAAGGAGAGGCTAAGTCTAGGCAGTAGGGTACACTTGGGTTGGTGCAAAGTTTAGGGGATTAGTACCCAATAGTTTTTTGACTGAATTGCTCTATGATTTTATAGCTAATAGATTAAAAGCCCTTCAAAGCACTGAGGCTTGGAGCTTTGTTTCCACTGGTAAATGTTCATTGATTTTTCATATCACTTCCAGTAAAGGCACCTGGTTCCAATTTTTAAAGGCATTTAGGCACTGTTCTGCACAGTGCTGCAGGACTTTGGTAACATAGCTTAGTCCCATTTTCAAAAGTGACTTAGGCATGAAAGAGCCTAAATTTCACTGAAAGTTAATGGGAGCTAGACACCCAAGTCATTCTGAAAATGTGATTGTACTTGTCACTTAAACCTGGCAAAACTGAGCGTACCAATGCCCAGTTTTGAAAAACTTGAACCATACATCTAAGATCCTCATAAACCATCAGCATTTGAGACTCTGTGATTCATTTACAGTAACTTCCTTGATTCTAATTTTATTTTCTTTTACCCCCCTAAATCAATTATTGGAGCAACTATTTTCTAAAAAGTCTATGGAAATATTCTTACCACAAAGGTCTCAACTCCTATAGTGCATCTGCTTTGCAGACATTTCTATCTGCTTCACTGGTTATAAACTAATTGTTGAACTGACACATCTTTAAGACTATGAGAAACTTTGTCTCTTCTGTGATTTTTTTAAAACTTTTTATAATATAAAATGCAAATCAAGAAGCAAAAAACAAACCTAGGAAGCTGGCTTGAGATTTCAGGGAAAGCTGGCAGCTTTATCAGTAATCAAGAGGAAACATTAAATCTGTTTAATCTGTCATAGGTTATCAGCCAGGGGCTATATGAGGATTCCAGCAGCAATTGCTCACAGGTATCTAGTAGCTGACTGAGCTTTTCCTCAAATGCGGATTCAAACATCTGAGCATTACCTTCTAGGGTTGCCAACCCTCCCGGATTGGCCAGGAGTCTACTGGAATCGGTATTGATCTCCCAGTGACTATTGAAAGCAATCCAGGAAACTGATATTGTGAACAGGTTGAACAGTATAATTAATTTCATTATGTCATGGTGGGGAAAAGAATCTCCCAGAATAGCTCCCCTCCATTTACAACCTCTTAGCTGCCACTTTTTGATTTTTAATTCTGTCTACTTTCAATATATCATCACTAGGCTAGACCAGGCCATGAACCTGATACCTGCCACATTGTATGCTGTCTCAATCTTTTCCTTATACCCCTGGGAAATAATGAGAATCATTTCTAGGGTGCACTGTGTTTCTGCTCACCAAGAATATTTATGTGGTAACCAGTATTCTCCTGGAAAATGCTAGTGGTTTTTTTACCTACAACAGCTTACACAATGTCTCTTTTCTTCAGCTGGCAGGATTATTTATGTACTACACATAGAAAACTACACTGAAGAGTTGGTCTGCATAGAGATGCATGAATCTTCCAGCTATGTTCTCAACAGGGTAATGAATTGCCTTAAAAAGTGCACCAAATTGCATTATGTTCTAAGGAAAATGCTTTTAATATCACATTCAAACAAGCTTTATAAAATCTCTTCTGACAAATCAGTCAAAAAAAAAAACAGCATTAAACTCTCCCATGCTTTTTCTCACCATATTTATCCACTATTAAAAGCTACAGTCTTTGAGTGTTGTAGTCTAGTGAACAGCCCCTTACACAACTGCTAGGTCAAGGCCAGAACTTCAGAAACCATGGCCTTAAGTCTCCAAATAACCTCCAGGGCCTGCCTGTTTTGCTCACCTAACTCCTCAGGGGCCACTGCTAAAAAAACAGCTTAGCACCAGCTCTGTTGTATAGACACAGGCATTTCTTAAGCAGCTTCTTAGCTAGAGAAAACTGTGGCTTCTCCATTTCCAGGAGCCTGAATAAAGGATCCCCCCCCCCTATTTTTTAATACCAGGCAATTCATGTTTTGCCAGAAACTTCCAACAGATTCTTTTTAATTGTTTCCTATTCCAGAACTGATACTGAGTGACTCAGGTAAGTCTGAATGACTGCCTAGTAAAAGGAGTGCTTTTATGCATTTAAATATAACACTGCCAGCAACCAACAGACCAGTTACACTGATATAAACATGAAGTTAGTTTGGCTCCTTAAACTTTGTATGTAGACCTTCTACTGCAGGACCTTTAATGAGAGTATCTCAGAGTGCTCCACGACAGCTGGGAGGTCTCACATCAGCCTTGTGATTCAGATACTATTATCCCTACTTTGCAGGTGGTGGCATAAGCACAAGGAGGTCCAAGATCACACTGCAAATAAGTGACAAATCAGAATTTGAACCCATAAGACCTGACTCCCCTTCATTCAGAGGCAACCTTGTCCCATGAGTTGACCAGAGAACTAATCCTATGTTAAATATTGGCCTTACCACTGATTCAGTGTGCGACCCTGGACAATTTTCGTGGCCTCTCTGTGAGTTGGCTTTCTCATTTGGAAGAACTTACCTGATGGACCTTTATAAGGATTGGTTAACCTTCATCCCAGGCTGTAAGGATGTGAATCACCAGGTCCCAATTCAGACAAGCACTTAAGTACTTAAAACCATCTCTACCCAGGACAGCATTTACGCAATTGCTCAGCTGGACTGCAATGTGTCTGGAGCATGAGCAAGAGAGCTGTTATGAATAGCAACAATTTTCTGAATCAGGGTTTAAGTGCTCAATATTATTGTCATTAGACTTTATGCCAGACTTGCTTTGAACCATTTCCCCTTGGTGAATGGTGACAACTGACTGTTGTGCCTCTCCTCAAAATGAGCCCTTTCCTTGCAGCTGTGTACAGTAAACAAAAAAGCATAAGCCAAATTCTTTAAGGTCTAAAAAAAAGGTGCTCCTCCTATCTGCACAGCAGTGTGACAGAAAATCCCTGCAACTAAAAATTAACTTCAATTCACCAAATAAGATGATAATTACAAAGAAATTAACTCTGCTGCACTCCACACAGACCCAGCTCAGTGCTGTAATTAGCAGCCACAGGGATACTGTACCATACAGATATGCTCACGTTTGCTTTCTGTAAAAGGAAACATTTTGGAGTCTAGAAACTTCCGCAAGCCTCACATGAGAGAAAGAGTCAAGATAGTTTCCATTCCTTTCGCAAAGCAAGAGCATTTTACAGCTGCTAAAAGCAAGTGGAACACTGGCAATTTTTCATATTTAAACAGAAATCCATCGCCCTTTAAATTTTAGCAAAAGATCAAAAATAGCTATTCAGAGCAAAGAATTTACCTTATTCTACTCAATTTTACACTGCTACTCTCTGGTATTGCTCTAATAATAATTTCATCTGCATTCAAAATGAACTCTTCTCCCCCTTTTTTTTTCCATCTTCCGAGGTTCTGTGTTGAAATCCCGTTTGTTGCAGACTTTCTGTGGTTACAACCATATTGCAAGAGATTTGGATGTCACACATCCTCACAGAGGACTGGTTCAAGGAGAACCATGGCTGAGAAGATCCCTAATTCTAACAATAATATACAACTAGACTGAGTCATCCTCCCAGACACATGCACACCAATCTAAAAGCAGCAAGTCCAGACAGAAGGGAAAATTGGGGGGTGGGGTGTTATTTAAGACGTAACCCAGTCTGGACATTCACTGCCTCCCTAAACTTAAGCCTGATTACACTTTATATTATGATCTCCCTCCCCCATGCCCCAGATGGCATCTTCTGCTCCCTCAATCCCTGTCCTTACCTGTCGGTATCCCACCATAATCATTCTGACCAGAACAATGTTAATGTGAACACCCAGGGACTCATCGTGGTATATTTCATCCACCTACAGTGAAAAACAAGACAAAAACACAGTTAAAATAATGCAAATCCTTTGAAAAATGAATTTAGAAGATCCAGAATACAATTATCCTATTACCTTTTCTATCCCACAGAGCCATGTGATCTCAGAGATACTCTGCAGATTGCTACCCCAGGGATATACCCATTTCATTTGCAGATACTAGATGTGCTAATATCAGCTGCAGTCTTTGCCTTTCCTCTTAGTATATATCACTAATATATTACCCAAGTCTACATTTAAAGCATTAACACATACATATTCTATATGCAAAGATCTCCATGTCACAGTTATTGAGGTATAGCAGGAGGGTTTATGCTATAATCTGGGTTCAGAGGATATGATGCAACAGCCTTTACTGTAACAAAAATGTTTGGGTATTTAAAACCTTCAGGAGAAAAACCATCCTTGTGCATGATGCAGGTAAAGGCATGATGGGATCTAACGCATGGTCCACACAATTGCATCTCTTGCAATGCCACAAATATATGGCAGGAGACATGACTGTGGGTGCTGGTGTATGCTTATTGCTGGTGCAGGGGAATTACGTCCCCCTCAGCTGATGGGGCTCCCAGCCATGCCAGCACACCATGTAGTCCCACAGCAAGGAGCCCCATCAGCTGACCTGGTCTCCCAGTTGGGGGGGCACCTCCGGGGTCCCCACGGCAGGGATGCTGCAACTGATGTGGTGTCCCAGCATCAGGGGTGGTTTCATTCACCCCCATGGCTGAGAAACTGCAACTGACTTCATGCACCAACTGATAGGGGTGTCTGAAGCATCCTCACAGCTGAGAACCCTATCAATTGATGGGGCTCCCAACCACAGAGGCATGTGCTCCTGCAGCTGAGAGCCAGCGTCAGCTGGGAACTCCTACGCTCAGGATTGCACGCTGGTCCTCCCAGCTGGGAGCTCTAATTAGCCAATGTGGCTCCCAGCCACGAGGGCCCCTGGCCACACATTCAATTAATGGCATGATAGGAAGCAGCTACAAAGTTATTACAGATATTCTGTGGAAGAAATGTTTAGCTGATTCCTCTTTTTATCACACAATTAACTGAATAAATGTGTGGCCAGGTAACCACTTAAAGTGTAATTAACTGGTTACACTTATCATGCCTTAAATGAAATGTGCAGATGGGGCCAGTGTCTCCAAAGCATTTTGTTGCTAGCCCCTTAGAGCTGAAGCTGTTATACATGTAGTGTAGCCAGTGACCCAACCTATTGCTGTGTGGTGAGACTCTACCATACAAGTCTGACATGCCCTGACACCAGAGGTGGCCAGGGGTGCCTCTAAGACACACTCCTGGAGTGTTCTCACACCTTTCAGGTGCCCCTCTCTGCTGTCTGCTGCTTCACCACTGACATAGGCGATGCATAGGGGGGCAGGGGGCACTTCCCCCCCACCCCCCAAGATTGTCCACCACCAAAGCTGCTGCTGGCTTCTGCAGACAGTCACCATTTACACACACCCCTCGCTGCTGATGCAGCTGGTGGTGGCTACAAGCAGTTCCCACTTGCCGCTTGCCACCTTCCCCCCCACGACCCTGTCCCGCTGCTGACACCACCAGCAGCAGCTGTGAGCGGTCCCCGCTCACCCCCGTGATGTCCCCCAGTCTCAGGAGGCACCAGTCGTTCATGACTACTGAGAATCGACTGAGATGCTCCAAAGTTCACCTCCCTGACCTCTGGTACCTCAACTTTACCTGCCTCACCTAGGTCTTGCCAGCTGAACAGAAGGGATGCTGCAAACTAGCAGAATCACACCCTTATCCGGTCACATGCTCAGAAAAGATGGATTCACTCTTCTGGATAAGAGGCCTGCTAGTATGGTCAAATACTCTGAAACCACACTTAGCCTGATTATAAGCAAGTTAAAAGATAACAGAAAGATTATAAAAACAAGAGCAAACATAAGAAATCAGTAATATGTTGAGATGCAGACGGAGGTATAAGAACACACAAACAAAAGACAATATCAGAACAACAATTTGACCTTACCCTGCATCTTAAACCTAAGACTGCAGCTCCTACCTAGCTCAAGTTAGAAAACACCTTATGCCTCTGAACGTTCTGCCAGGACCTTCTGCAAGTTCTCCAGTTAGCCTGCTTTACTCAGCCCCCTGACTAAGGCCCTAAAGCTGCTCCCTATTCCTGGGGAAAAAATGAAAGACCAAAAATTCCTCTCAAAGCAAAATGTAAGTACAGTTTCTTATCTGATAATTTACATACATCATCCATTGGATTCTTGGGGGAGCCCACACCATATATATAACTTCCTGTCCCTTCAAAGGTGTATGTTTACCAGAATAAAAGTCTTTTCTGATATAATTACAACCAAGAGAATACATGCATCCTTTCAACCACAAAGATTACTAATCCAATATTCTAAAGATACTCTCTCACACTTAATTTCCCTCCTGTGAGAAATATCCTCCCAAATGATATTCTTACAAGTCTCTTCCTTTGAAATGTCTGGAAGGGCATGTTGGATGACTAAACAAACTCATGTCAGACACTCATTCTCAGCAATTACTTCTATTGTGAATAGGTGAGGAATACAAGGTACTACACATTCTTGCCTGAAATACAAAGATATATAAAAATTACATCCTTACCAAATATCACAATTCAGTCAAACATAATAACAATTAGGCTAAATATAGCAGTGGCACTATCTATACATAAGGACTACACATGCCATATCAGTAAAACAAACTCAAGAAAACATGCATGACATCCCAAGAACCCTTCAAGCACTGTACATTTGTGACAGCAGGCAACCAACATAACTCTCAACTGATGGCAGCAAAAATAGTATGCAAGGGATGGATGCAGGCGAAGGTCAGGAATGTTTTGTGGGTCCAGCAATCCAACCGGCTGGGCCGTCATTCAGTGCTTTAGAATGGGCATGAATGCTTTGATAAATCCCTGCACTAACCTCAGTCCTCCAAAAAAGCAGTTCCTGCTCATCCCCTGTAAGAGTCTCAGATATAAGTTTTCAAAATGTACCTTCTAATATCCCAAGGTGTACTGGGAGGTCCTGGTAGAATTGTCTTTGTTCCACTGCCAAGAGATCCTATCAGGGGTTATTTCTCAGTGGTAGTTGATAGCAGTACTTTCAGGGTCACCAGCAAATCATACAGAGATAAGAGGAATTTGGTATACTGAGGGTATGATACAATTCCTCTCACTCTCACTTTTCCCTCTAGCACACAGGTCTCTTCCTCCCTCTCTCCTTGAACAAGACAGCTTGAATTCTACTGTATAAGGTCTCTCCAGAACACCTCACCTTCTCCCTTTTCCCTCTTACTTCCATGCCATTCTCTTCCTTTTGCTTGCTTGTTACACAATTGACTTACGGAGTCCTCCAATTCCAGTTCCCATTGGAGCAGGAAGGGGTAAGATAACCTTCCCTCCATTTATTTAAGAAAAATATTATAAAGCAAAACCAATAGCAAGATGACAAGGGTAAAATATCCTTTCTTTCAGGGGCACCTATCACATAACCCAAATGAAAACTGGAACATAGTGGTTTGATTGTCTTCAAATATGGCAAAACACAGACTTTTCAAAAGAAGTAACACTAAATAAATATTTTCTCACACACACACCCCCACACCCTACATACAGCCTGTTTAAATAATCTCCATGGTGATATTTAAACTCTGCCCCAAAGTCCATCTTAAATCCATTCCCCCTCCTTCCCTCACTCCTATTCTGCTTCACAAAATTACACACAGCTGGATACAGAATTAACATCTTCCCTTTTTTTTAATACATCTCATTTTAAGAGGCAACATTTTCAAAAGATTGTGTTCTTTGCTGCCTGATGACATTGCTGCTGTTGTCAGTAGAGTCCAAAATAGCCCAATTTCCAAAGGAGATTACGTCAAGTATAGAGCATCCTGGAATGAGTGGCTGCCTCCAGTGGAGAGGTTGAATTCATTGAATGGAAGGAAATGTTTCATGTCCTAATAGCTTCATGTTTTATGAAGAAAAATGTCTTTTCTGGGAGAGGTGAAAGATCTTATCAAACCAAGTAAATTAGTCGTTTGCAAGTCCATATCTGTTAGTTACACCGATGAGTCAAATCTGACCTACCACTTCAGAAGCCACAGATAAATCCAAATGAAACAACAGTATAGTTTAAAGGGCCAGGGCCTTTTTAGGAAACAAAATTTAAAATAAAATATACATCAACATTTGTAGCTACAGGCAATCTTATAAAGGGAAAAAATACAGCCTTGTGACATTTTCTTTCCCTTTTCTAGATGCCTAAAGAAGGTAGGAATGGATGCATGTACCCACTCCAAACTCTCTAAATAAAAGGATTTTCCTCCATGTGGTTTTTTAAATTAAAAATTCAGGTCTTGAATCCCCTGTTGTTTCCTGGAAGAACGTTGGCCTGCTTGAGAACTAATAAGACCATGGCACTATATACCAAGCAGCTCAAACTTGACTAATTGAGTGGAAAGTTGCTTTCTTACAAGCTGCCTACTTGTTTTTTTAACACCTATTCCACTCAAGTGTACATAAAAAGATGAGAAAAAGTCTATGTCTTATTAATCAATGCCCAACACCACTACAGTTAAGAAAAGGACTCAAAACACACTAGAGACCTCCAACAAAGATAAAAAGGAAAAACCAGATATTCTTTAAATATCTAAGATGAAGACAAGCAGAAAATGAAAGAAACCCAAAAGACCCCCAAAAAACCTGCAATAAGAACCTGCGAATCCAACCTGAGACACTTTCAAAGAATTCCATCATTCAGAAAATGCTAAGTATTTTATTAAATCCCATAAACTCTGACAACCATCCCCATCAACTGCCTTCAGTTCGGCATAAAAAGTGGAGGTTCCCAAAAATCAACTGTCAGTTTAGAGGCCTTCCACCTTTTGTTATACCCAATGGAAGGGGGGAAAAATGAGTAAACTCAAATTGTTTTCTTTGCTTTAAGCAAGCTAAATCCTATGTCTACTTT